AGAACAGCAGCAGTGACATTTTAAGGATGTCTCCTCAGATAATAATCTATATCTATTCTTCCTTGTCTGCAAATGCCTTTGTGCTTCCACTGCTAAAGGATCCTTTCACAACTGTGGGCACCAGCAACTTTATTTTTTCTGTAATACCAAAAATCATAGCCAATCGAAAAGTTTATTTCATACAAATACACAGAGTATATTTTTATACAACTAACATTGGGTGCTAAGTCATGTTTTTATCTCCTAGAAGTATTAGTATTAGCTGTGTGGTGACCAGAGATGAAGAACAAGGAAGGTATTTTTAAAATTTTATTTATGGAGAGTGAGAAAGAGGAGATAGGAGTCTCAGAAAGAAATGACAACACTTGGCATTTTCTTTTGTCTCTTTCAACAGTGAAACTTTTTAATTCTATGTTTCCAAGAAATTTCGATGTTTCTTAATAAAAAAGTTACTTCTGTCAGCTTGTTCCTGTTAATAGTTTTTTCAACAGGGAAAAGGGTTGACACCTGGCAGTGCCACGGTGGCTCTGTGCTCAGGGTTGCTTCAGCAACGTTTGGAGATCTGAAGGTTGCTATGGACACGCTATGGATCAGGGTCAGTTCCATGAAAGGTGGGAACATCTTAGTCCATACTCTCTCTCCTGTCCTTTTCCTTATGTTTAAAACTAAAGCATAAAAGAAAGAAATACTTGCAAAAGTTATGTGGGAAACAAGTCAGAGACTCTGAAAAACATTTTTTAAAGGCAAAACTGATCATTGTTACTCAAAATAAACTCTTAACACTTTACTCAGAAGAAAATTAATGAGTTTAAAATGAGAAAACTCTTTGAACAGGCATGCCACTAAAAGAGAGAACATTATAAAGATAGCAAATAAGTGTTTAAAAAGATACCTGACATCATATGACATCACGGAAGAACAAATGAAAATAAAATGCCACTGAACTCCTACTAATATGGCTAAAATCTAATGTACTAACAGCTCTAAGCAGTGGTAAGAAAATGGAGTAACAAAAAGTCTTCTTCAAGCAAATGAGCATTCAAAATAATCCAGCCACTTTGATATTCTGGCTATCTTTCAAAATTTATGAGAAACCTTTTGATTTCTCACAGAATTAAACATACTCTTGCCATAAGATCCAACAATCATTTTCCTTAGTATTTCATGAAAGGAGTTTAAAAAAATATCTGTTCATGCAGCACTCAGGTTCAATCCCTGGCAACTCATATGCTCCTCCAAACCCCCCAGGAGTGATCCCTGACCATAGAACCAGAAGTAATCTTAGCCCAGACAGGAGAACCCAAAACAACTATAATAACAACAACAATACTGTAAAGGTAGCTGCACACAGACTTGCACAAAGATGTTTCGAGTAAGTTTGTTTATAATCGCCAATACTTGGACATAGCAAAATGCCCTTCAGCAGTTGAATAGATAAATAAACTTGGGTACATCCAGAAAACTGATCATTCAAAACTAAAAAGATATGCGCTATCAAGCCATCAAAAGCCGCAAACAAAACGTTAATAAAGGGAAGAGATAACCTGAAAAATTACATAGTGTTATTCCAACTATGGGCTGGAGCGATAGCACAGCTGGTAGGGCGTTTGCCTTGCACGCAGCCAACATGGCTGACTCGAGTTCGATTCCTCCGCCCCCTCGGAGAACCTGGCAAGCTACTGAGAGTATCTCATCCACACGGCAGAGCCTGACAAGTTCCCCGTGATGTATTCAATATGCTAAATACAGTAACAACAAGTCTCATGATGGAGACGTTACTGGGCCCGCTCGAGCAAATCGATGAACTACAGGAGAACCGTGACCGTGATTCCAACTACAGGAGGAGCAAAACTGTCGGGCCAAGTATGATCTGTAACACCAGGGCTGAGAAGAAGGAAAATTCTAGTGGGTAATACACAAAGGATTTCAAAACAGTGAAACTTCTTTGTATGATACTAAGTCATATATAAGTCAAAAACAATAGAATTATATAAGAGTATTTCTAATAGAAAATGTGGGCTTGGGATAATAATGATGTCACAGAACCTATTTTGAGTCAGACTGTAACTGTCATAATGAGACTTCAAAGTAAAAGCAGGCAGTCTGACTCAGCTCAGTAGAGGGGACTATAAAAGAATATCTACTCACTAATTTATATCGTTGATGATGAAAAACAACCAATACTCAATTTATCCCTATCAAGAGTTAAGGAAAAAGCAGGAAAGTACTCTTTTCTGATTGTAACAAAAGCAGTTAACATTACAACTTTCTGTTTGAAGACTTGTCAACTAATCCTAAATTTTCAGATAAATGCTTAATTTTAGGCCAATCTCTTGCTCAATCTTTAAAACAGTTCATCTATCCTACCCCTGATAGGGATAGGACAGAGGGATTACCGTTTGGTTGTGGACCCAGGGCATGATCCCAATTCTCAAATGAACACTTTCTTCAGTTCTCATATTTCTATTGCAACAATACATGAGTGTAGGACCTTTCTGACACAGGATATTGTCAGTGAGGGGGACTGCATGGCCCCGGGCAGGACTATGTGGGGACATTCCTCTCAGTTCTGCTGTGGACCTAACATGTTCTAAACAATGGCGTTTTTTAAAAAAAGCCATTTGGGAATATTTACAAGCATTTAAACCATTTCATAAGACAAATTCAGTAACACCACTTCTAATATCTGTCCTAAGATACTCAAAATAATCCTATGGGCTATTAATGACATTGTTAACTGTATTTTTAAAAAGTTAAGAGGCAGAAGCAATGAAAATATCGACAATGTTTAAGTGGTACATAACTGTTTATAAAAAGCAAAATAAAATTCATAAAACTTTCTTGTATTAACATCCTATTGTGATTTCACATCACGAATACTTCAATATTTTAAACCATTATTAAGAAAAGTATAAATTTAAGATTGAAATTGTAATGACTTAGATAGAATGGCACACTGATCGGAAATTTTTTTTTTTGTCTGACAGGTTTTTTGTACCTCTCCATTACCTATCATTTGGTTTAGTTTACAATATATGCCAGTGACTTTAACAATAGGAAAAAATTTAGGGCAATTTTCAAGTGTAATACTCTATCATTTAGCTTAATGTTTAAGGTATCTATGAGGTCATAGTGCTAGTACAGCGGGTAAGGCATTTCTTTGCACACATCTTACCTGGGTTCAATCCCCAGCACCGCATGTGGTCCCCCAAGCCAGGAATAAGCCCTGAGCATAACTGGATGTGGCTTCCAAACAAAATAAATATTCAGTACTCATTAAATTCGTTTTATTTAATTATCTTAGCAAATTCTCTATCAACACATTGAAAATCACTTTTTGTATATGTGATGTCTGAAAATACAGATAAAGTTAAAGGTAAAGGCCCTCCCGTTGATCGTCGATTTGCTCGAGCGGGCCCAGTAACGTCTCCATTGGAGACTTTGTTGTTACTGTGTCTGGCATATCGAGTACTCTCGGTAGCTTGCCGGGCTCTCCGAGAGGGGCGGAGGAATCGAACTCGGGTCGGCCATGTTGGCCGCTTGTAAGGCAAACGCCCTACCCGCTGTGCTATCGCTCCACTCTTATTAACGCTAGGAAAATACAGATATTTTTATAAAAATGAAATACTTTTGATAACTTGTAATCTATCTCAAAAAAGGTTAATTGGCTTCAAAAGGAATTTCCAATGAGAAAATAAGTCATATTTATAACAGATATTTTTAAGTCACATCTGATGACTTGGCAATATTATAACATCTTTTGCTACAAAATATAACCCTGTTACTAATAAACTATTCAAGTTTACAGTCTTGGAAAATGTATTCTCATAAATATTAATGATAAATTTAACACAAAGAAACTAGTTTAAAGTTATCTGAAATATCACCTCCACAAAATTTCAAAGTTTCTAATGAGGCATTTCTTTTTCTTAGCCTCTATGCCTGTCAAATCATTCCTTTCATTCCTTTTTATTAAATTTACCTATTATGTTCCAGGAATTGTGCTGCATTCATTCATTTACATGAGGAAATAATGACTATAAGTTTTAGATTTTTCCAGTCAGATTTTCATATTGCTGTTTTCATCATCACTTAATATATGCTGCACGGAGGGTTTGCAGCCAGACTTAACAAATAAGAACAGATAACAGATAAGAACAGAGACCCTGGTACCATCAATTTTGGCAAGGATAACTTTGTAAATAACACACAGATGTTCTGAAATTTGCATGACATAATTATTAATAGTGCTTCAAGCCTAGAAAAATTTTACTAAGTTTATTCTTTATGAGTGAATTGAACTCCAGAGAAAATGCTTGAATTTTATCAGGTTTATAATTTCTACAGATTGGTATAATTTTTTTATTTTCAATTTCTCATTTTAGTATAGTGTTAATAACATAATTTTTAAAATAGATTTTCAGAATTGTGTTGTTGAGGATACATCAGTAGGTGGCAATATTTTCATTCTCATATTTAGCATATACTAAACTTTCTATTTACACTTACACATGTATTTTTTTTGCAAATTTGTAATATGTTTCTAATTATTTTGCTGAGTTAAAGAGAAGTTATATATATATAAATCTCACATAAATAATTTTCTATAGTGTTACTAGCAAAAAGATACCTTATTCAACTTATTGCAGTATTATTTCTCAGACAAGTCCTTTTTAGAAGTTAGGGAATCCTTTCTAAAATGTCTGAACTACTGAAGTTTCAAAGTACTGAAGTCGTTCAAAGTTTCAGTTTTCTTCCTTCCCCTCAATCTACACCCCAGAAACAGCTTTTCTCTTGGGCCTAGATTACGTTTGGGTCAGAAGGAAGATAGTCAGATTGATAAAGCAATACCCCTGGGAAAAGATGATTAACATGTATAAAGGGCTTTCCCAGCAGTATAAATACCAGCACGCTCCCTCCTGGTGCCTCAGAGCTTTCTTGATGTATATATGCAGGTAGTGAGATTGAAACAGCCCATTAAGGGGGTAATATAATAAAACTCTGATTTGAGGAGGGCAGTTCTTCTTTTTCTACTGTCTTGTGGGAATGAGTTGCCAACCTTTTACTTCAGCTGATACCTTTATACCTCTGAATTCTGAGTCTCCTGCAACTCTGCCTCTGATAATGCATCACAGCGCTGCTGAATGCCTACCAGTCTCCAACCATGCCAATAATGTGATGTCTACAGGTACTGATGCGATTAACGGTCTACCTGCTGCTGGGCCTAACCATTTCAGGAGAAAGGCTTGACTTTTAGTTTAGAATTTCTTCACTTCTTTGTTTTTCTCCTTCAGCTTAATATGTTTTAATTTAAGTATTAATATTGTTAAAGAGGACAACATGCATAAAAGTATTGGAAAGTTCAGTAATTTTAACCATTGATGATTTTATAAACATCAATTTTCTATGAATGTAAACAGAGTGCTTATTTTTAATGCAAAACCAGTTAAGTGGAAATTTTATAGAAAGAAAAACTTATGGAACAGTTTAAAAGAATTTACTATTTGGGTAGTGTTATTTCCTAGGGACAATTATGAGGCTCAGTGGTAGTGTTCATGCCTTGAATTTGTGCAGTTCTGATCTCAAACCATGGTTCTGCAATTATTAAAATAAAATTAAAAATGGTGCTACTGCTAATTCTTTAACTTAAAAATTTATTTGGATGTTGGTTTTCATTGACTACCATATCCATAAATTGCCACATTACATTGAATAATTTCTAAGACCACAAACAAAGTTCAATAAAATAAAATAAATATTTTAATAAACTTAACATTTTAGCCTAGTTTAAATCTCAGAAATCACAACTAGAGCAATATTTCATTTAGGAAAATGAACTGAGTTATATGTTCACAAGATTGAGTCCTAAAGACATTCAAACTCTTGCTGAATTTTAAATTAAAAATTTGCATATTTTCCCATGTAACATTCTTCAGTGAAAATTAAGATTTAACTTTCTGACACAGTCTATCAAACACAATTAAATAAAGATGTTTTGTTAAAGTACCAATTCTTGATGCAGTGTGTTAAAAATTGAATTCTAAACGGGTCATCTTAGAATTGAGTAAATTTCTTTCAGTAAGTAACAATACAGTTTTTAAAACAAAGCAATTATGAGTTAAATTTTATGAATTTATAAGCAAATTTGAGTTGCTGCATTTATATTCTGACTTAAAGATTCTGGACTTTATTTATATTCTAACTCAATAGCTCCCAACCTAATAAAAAGTTGGCAGTATTTTTCTACTAATTTCAAAGAATCTATATACTATGTTTCTGGATTTGGTAAAACCAATAAACTAATTTTTTAAAATACAGCAGTTATTCTCATAGTTTCATTACAATGAGAATAATGGAAGTTACTCAAACCACATATTTAAGAAATATGGTAAGGTATTTTAATTGAAAAGGAATAAAACAAATAAACTTAAACAGTTACTATGTCGCTAAATATATTTTATTTTAAAGACGTATACTTTGGGGATTAAAAAGAATAATACATTGTTTGGTTAATCTACAATCTGTATTAACAGTATTTAACCAGAATATAAATAAAATTTATAATAGAAGCAATAGCAATCTTAGGTCCCAAGCCCTATTTATTTAACAAAATCAATAATTATAAATAGGAATAAGCATATAATTGGAAATGATATTAAAAATAAATACATAACAGTAAATTAGCTCTTAATCCAAGTTCCCAAATTAGATAAATAAAAGTTTTTAAACTTTGAAAGTAAAAATTGCATAATCAGTCAAAATACCTAAATACATATTTTTTAAAAAATATTTTTTATTGTTGGTGTTTCACTAATAAAAAATCATAAAAAAATATTTTTTATTGAATCACAGTAAGATACAGAATTACAAGGCTGTTCGCAATTAGGTTCTCGTTATATGAATGTTTCTACACCCATTCTTCACCAGTGTACACATATTGAATTAGGGTGATATTGGTTACATAATTTTTTATAGAATTATATTCATACATACTTAAAATGTAAGGAATAAAAATACTGGTAATAATCTAAAGATTGTATGGTAACTAAATACTCATGTTTGTTTATTTTTGCAGTGAATAATAAGGTTTTTATATGTAATTATAAAATAATTTATTTCTTCCTACATATCAATATGAAATTTAAATTATGAATACACTTTACGATATGAATACTGACCTGCACTTTGATGATTATTTCACTTTCTTAAGGAATGTTGTTTTTAATTACTAGATTATATCAATCTTTTAACAGGACTGCACCTTAAATTTTATATATCTAGCCCGATATATATTTTAAGAAGATATGAATATACCATGTTTATAAAAATATTCACCACTGTATCTAAATTAAAGAAAGATGAGAAAATAAAATTAATGAGGAAACATTGGTTAACAGTTTTGTTGCCAATAGCCTACAATTTTTAGTTGATATGACAACTTAAATTTAATCCTAGGTAAAAATTCAACACCACAGACTCACCAGATTCACCCTTTTTCCTCAAAGCATATAGCCACATACAATATTCTGCTCCTATGTGAGACTCTAACTTTATAAATAGCAAGTCAAAATCAATTAATTTCTTTTTGACAAAATTTATCATCAGTATTATTGAATAAGTTATATGGATTAAGAAAATCTTGAACCTCAAAGTTTCAACATCTATATCTATAATTCTAAATTTGCTAGAATAAGCAAAAATAAGGACTATTCGAGAGTCAATATCTATATCTTTTCATGCAGAAAAATACTACTTTATGTACCAGACTCTCAATTTTATGAGGCTGATCCTCTAGTTTGTTGTGATGTCTATATTGGATTGAACCTATAGTCAGTCACCCTTCAGAGAGTGCAGGATAATAATGAAGTCTATCTTTCATTTTTATAATCTTTAATCTCTTACTTGAGGCAGATTTTGAAACCTAGTTTTAACTTACTTGCCAGAGACCTTTCCCCAAATGAGATCAAATTATTGACATAGAATTTAAGAATCATTTAAATGTGTGTTTTTGAAATGAAATGAATGTGTCTTGAATCCTCATACATTTTCTTACCAGTCCCGTCTGTTTTGTCTTTGATCCAAACTCCTAAATATTTGCACACGTATTTCTCCGTGACAACGTTTGGAAACACAGCAACGGGACTTCACTATTCTGTTCCTTCCTGTCATTATGGAAACCAGCCATCAACCTATGGAGTGATGGCAGGTAAGAAAAATTGTCTGTATATCATACTGAGTTTGGGGACTTATATAAATATCTTGGGCCGGGGGGAATCTCAACCTTGAAAACTACTAATAAAACAATCATTTCTTCAGATGTTCCCTAATCTTTGATGCCTTCAGAAATCGCATTGCTTATAATTTATTCTTCTTATTCTACACAGTCTAAACACTATACTTCTTAATACTGGGGTTCAATTTTTGTGACTTCTTAGTTGATTCATTACTGTTAAACTGTCCATTATCACTTGCTTATGCTATTCATAATATTTGGTAGCCACCGGTCCTCATACGGTTATTAACATTTAAATGTCCTCCCGTTGTTCATCGATTTGCTGGAGCGGGCCCAGTAACATCTCCATTGTGAGACTTGTTGTTACTGTGTCTGGCATATTGAATATGTCACGGGTACCTTGCCAGGCTCTGCCGTGTGGGCGAGATACTCTCGGTAGCTTGCCGGGCTCTCCGAGAGGGGTGGAGAAATAGAACACGGCTTGGCCGGGCTGGCTGCGCTCAAGGCAAATGCCCTACCACTCTGCTATCGTATGTGAACTAAAATAAGGTCAATCTTTCAGGAGCATTAGTCACATTTCAAGTGCTCAAAAAAGGCACAGTCTGGTAGTCCCATCCAAAACCCCCCAAAGGTATCCTCTCGCAAAACTTATGAGTCAGCTTTTTTAAGACTTAGTCAGATTATAGTGCTTCACTATGACTATCAGCTATAGATAGCATAGAGTTATAAACGCTTTCATTATAGTGTTTCTTGAAGACGTTTGGTTCAAGAGATACTGAAGGTTAAGAGTGTTTTTGAATCTCCCTTTTTAGCCCCAGTTCTTCCTTGAGCAAATCTCTCTCTTTTTTTAAACTCTGGAGAATTTCTTGTTCTTTCTTGAGCAGGTATTCCCCTTTCTCTCCCCTCACCTCTTTCAACGTTAATATCAAGCAATAGAAACGATTTTGCTTCATAGAAAGACAGTGATTTGCGGATCTTTGGTAATAGTTATTTAGGAGAAATTCCTCCCTGGGTGGCCTCTCAGTCTTCAGTGAAATTTAATTGCAAATACTCATATTTGTCTTTGGGTAAGTAATACATCGGTAGATTAAGACCAACTATTTATTTGTTACTTCTCATATGGAGGCATTTGGAAGCACTTTTTAATTTTTTTCTTTTGGTTTTGAGGTCACACACATCACTGTTCAGGGCTTGTTCCTGGCCTTGTACTCAGAGATCACTCAGAGAATCCCCATGGCAGGACTCTGGGAACCGTATGTGGTGCTGGAGAACTGAACTAAAGATAGGCACATGCAAAGAAAGCACTTTATCTACTTTTTTTATGAGAAAATATTTAATTTTTTAATTTATTTTCATAATAAAAATAATGGGCTGGAGCGACAGCACAGTGGGTAGGGCGTTTGCCTTGCACCCAGATTCAAATCCTCTGTCCCTCTCGGAGAGCCCAGCAAGCTACTGAGGGTATCCCACCCTCATGGCAGAGCCTGGCAAGCTATCCATGACTTATTCAATATGCCAAACACAGTAACAACAAGTCTCACAATGGAGACGTTATTGGTGCCCACTCAAGCAAATCAATGAACAACAGGAGGACAGTGCTACAGTGTAATTTTCATAAAGTTGTTCACAGTAGTTGACTACATTCAACATTTCAACACCAATCCCACCACCATTACACCTTCCCATCACCAAAATCACTGTGAATTTTCCCACCACCACAGAAGTCTACCCCACAGGCAGATGCTGGATAATTTATTTTGTATTGCTTTGTTATGAACAGTATGAGATATCTGTAAGGATCTAGATAGCACATTTCTAAATGAAGAAGAAACTCAACTTAAAAAATTCCCTTATGGAGTGGGAGGTAGACTGGACAGGGTTTAGGATATGTGGTCCCTTGTACCACAGACCATGAGCTACTCCATGTCCTGGCACCCTGGAATTCCACTCCTGTTGACCAAGAATAACCAGGAGTAGACAGTCCCATGCTCTTGAGCACAGCCTGGTAGTCCCATCCACGATCCCACAAAGGTATCCTCTCACAAAAGTAATGAGTCAGGTTTTTTTTTCTTTTAAGATTTAGTCAGATTATAGTGCTTCACTGAAGTATATAGTTTTACTGAAATGTATTTCTTAAAAATACTATTTTATATTTATAATTACAACAGGAAGAGATAAATACTGATAACGATAGCAATGTGAGTATGTGAGAGAGAAACAGAGACAGTTTCAATCTGGCATAACAAATGGTCCTGAGTTCTGACAGGAATGATCCCTGGGCAAAGAGTTAGAACTAAACACTGAGCACTGCTAGGTCTGACAATACCCCCTGATGCACCTCCCCCTCCAGAAGAAAAAAATAGGAACAAAATGAGAATGGGACTGATATTGAGAGGGAAACTATAAAGCATCACATATTTGACAACTCTTTTCCCAACATGTAGCTGTCATGTATGTTCTGTTATTATCCAGGTTAAGGCAAAGAACTACAGTAACATGGATTTAAGCTTATAAATTTAAAGTATAGTTGAACAAAGAATTTATCAGTTTCCGAGGCTGGAGAGATAGGACAGTGGGTAGGGCACAGGATTTGCATTTGCCTGACTCAACTTGAATCCCCGCATTCCAGATGCTCTCCTGAGCACAGCCAGAAGTAATTTCTGAGTGCAGAGCCAAAAATTACCCCTGAATCAGAGTATAGCCCCAAACAATCCAGAGAAGAAGAATTTGTCAATTTATATATTCTCAATATTTCTGCTTGAGTAAATCATTATTTATTTTAGGGTCTAAATAGCACATTTCATATTTTAAAAATATGATATGATAAAAAATGATTTCTAGATAGCACAATTCATATTTTAAAAATATGAAAAATATTTTTTTAAATATGAATTGTTCTAGGACAAATTAGCTTCTCTTACATTTTATTTGGCACTATTCTGAATGAACTAGTCTCCACACGTTTGTGGTAAGCTGGGGACTGATATTTTTAGTGGTCACCTGAGCTACTTCATGGCTCTCTTTAATAATTAAGAAATAATTAAAAAGCACAATTTTATTTCCCTTTGAAACTGACCATTTATGATTCATATGCTTATTCATGGTTAATGAGAACTGCCCTAGTTCATGATGAACTACTTTCATTATAAAAAAGTAAAATCATGTGTGTTTCCCTACCAGAGTTGCAAGCAGAATGCTTTCTGTGGCCTCTCCCACTCTTGATTAAGAGCCCAGGAAAGAACATGAGCATGGTCCTTGTGCTGTTTTCTCTTGGAGAAGTCTTGGTCATTTTCAGAGATTCCCACAAACCTAGGGTGCCTGTGTGCCTGCCTGTGAGTACCTTCTTAACTCAGCAAGAAGCAGCTATGAATTAAGGTTAGTTAGCACAAAGATCAAAGCAGTCACAGACAGAATACTCTAAAATATATTTTGTTATCACTTCCTTTTCTATAAAATCACTTTACAGATGGCTCGGGAATTTTAACATCCACCCAGTATTCAGGATTGGAACAAAGAGGTCTCAGTTCACATTGAAATTTCACAGTCAGTTCAGGTTGTGCTAGTACCACCTCCGTGAGCATACATTCAGCGTACTCTCTTCATCGTGGTTAAAAAGAATTTCCTGGAGAAGCCATTAAAATTATTTCAACGCTGGGCTAGTGATATTAAGAGCAAAATGGTTATCTAGGATTTGAAGGTAGCACAAAAATAGTCTTAAAACAAAATTATGTTTTGTCACTTGAAGAAAAACTCACCAGGGTAAGCGTAGAGATTACACTTGAATATATTTTTGAGCAGGATATTATTGTGACATGTGCTGTGATATTTTAGAATGTTACAATTTTGAGATAAAGTCTGTGATAGTAACATTTTTATAATGGCAGATTAAATATCAGGGCATCTGAACTCTTCTGTCTCCAGCCCCAGAGAGGCAATACAAATGGAGTTATAAAACACAGGAACCTAGAAATAATAGAGAAATGTATAAAGTACACAAGAAAAATATATATATGTTATTTGAATGTTTGAAGACATCTCAAGACATTCATCACATCAGCCATATTCACACAGTCCATGGAAACATTTTATCACCAGAAAGAAAGACAGGTTTTTTATGGTCATACACTTCATGTGAAAGTGAAATTACAGAAAGAACTGTCTTTGAAAGAATATGAAATTTTTTGTTTTAACTTGATCATTTAATAGTCAGTTTCACTATTTCATTTTATTAAATTAATGGCTCATCTAAAAAGAAGAACTAGTTTTGATATTTTGTGTCAGTAGGGAGAAGTTTAATAATTTCATGAATCATTGTACCTCTTAGTCCAGTTTTGGGTTTACTTGAAGAATAGCTAATTGGGAACAATAAATTAGCAATACCACTAACAAGTTGTGGAATTTTTTCAAGTCACTTAATATTTGTTTCAGTCTTCATGCCCTATAAAGAGTTTAGTTCCAGCAAATTTGTACCAACTCAAACTTATTTTCTTCTTTGATGTTTTCAGATAAACCTGTAGATAAATTTCTTCCTTATTGTCATTCCTTCAATAGTATACAGTATAGGTAACAGAAATGGAACTATAAATCATATTAAAAATCTCTTCTAAATAAATGTGTGTGCACACACATCCACACATATCCACACATAAAATGACAGCAAATGCTCCCAGAATTGATTCTTGGTATCTGAGATCATTTCTGCTTTCCAGTTCATAGATATACATGGAGGTATGGAAATTAGCTCTTTGAACTGTCCACTCTGCACTCAGAGTAAAGGATGATATATTCTGCAGGTTTGTGCCATGAATTTTTGGTTTAAAAAATTAGTTTTTAGGCGTTCGGGGAGAAAGTTCACATGACAAAACACATGTGCAAAGTTCGAGGTTTCATCCCTAGGTTTGTTTAGACCGCTGCAAACAATGTCAGGTGTGGCCTTTAAACATCACTGAGCCCCTCAAAGTGAACCTTCCACCAGGTCCACTTGCTGCAAGTGTCCCTGCACCCCTGACTTCTACTGGATACACCTGGAAGAAATTTCAAAAATCTCCATCCTACTGGAAGATAAAGGGAGCACTTCAAATTGAAGCAAACCAAATAACAGTCTTTAGCATCAGATAATACCACTCAACTATAGCTAGTTAGAAAACTTTATCATGTGAAGATCCTTTATTTCTTGAAGAACACATAATTTCTTACTTTCAGGGGTGAAAAACCCCACAATTTTGTGTCAAATAACTTGCTAACTCGAAAAAAAAGGGAAAGAAAACTAGGTAATATTTATTAATTAACGATAAAGATTAATTCTCTTTTTCTTTAGTTGGAAATAGATAAAAGATCACTGTGTCTGAAAGGGTGACCAACTTCAGTTTGACAGTTAACGTAGAGAAAAATGGTCTACTTCAGACACTTGCACTTCTTTTTTTCTTTTTTCTTGGGAATTAACATTTTATTTTCTCCTAATTTTCTCCAGTTGTATCAACTTAGAAGTCCTTTCCCTTCCAAAGCAGTAAAGAAGTAACAGGCCTTTTCTAAGTTTTTAGAAATACTTTTCTTAGTCTGTCTCAAATATGCAATCCAGACACTACAGCAAGAAAGTAGCCATAGGCAATATGTCACTGTCATTGCCCTCCCGTTGTTCATCAATTTGCTCAAGCAGACCCAGTAAAGTCTCCATTGTGAGACTTGTTGTTACTGTTTTGGGCATATCGAATACTTCACGGGTAGCTTGCCAGGCTTTGCCATGAGGGCAAGATACTCTCGGTTAGCTTGCCGGGCTCTCTGAGAGGGGCAGAGGCAATATGGAAACAAATGTATATGGCCAGATTCCAAATGGACTAAATTTACAAAACCAGGCAGAACATCTAAGCTGCGCAGGGACAGGATTTACCAATACACAAAAGAAAAAAGAATAGAATTCAAATTTCTGATTTTCTTCTCAAGGTTATGCATCAAAAAATCATTTAAATAAATAGAGCTGTTAGATGTCAATTCCTGTGTTATCTTCAGTAAGGCGGTGTTTTTCACTATTGCCTCTGCTTCCCCCAAGTTCTTTGAAGACATCCAGACCATAACGTCAGAGATGTCAGTTAGCATCTGGCAGAACCACATGCTGCAAAGGAGCAATTTGCCCCATGCCATGGTACATTGAGTCAGCACCCTGCAAAGCAAGCCAGACCTCTGCCTTTTAAGATTTATCTCTGTTCTTTACCCACCTCTGCCACACAGAAATACACAGCAATTCAGAAAGCTCTGATGTGTTCATCTGTACGGTGAAATAATACTTTGGCTTGTATAAAATGTGAAAGTGTATCCAAGCTATTTATTTATGTCGACCTGAAGACAAATTTGTATTAGCACATTTTGAAAATAGTTTAGGAGATTTCTGCTGCAAATGACTCACCACATATTTTATTTTTGTTCATTTTCAGTAATTCCAGAATTCAAAAAGTTTCAAGTTTCTTATTATATAGATATACCAGTTACTCCCTCCCTGATCTTCCTCAACTGCAGAGTCAAATGATAAAAAACAGTTTGTTTGGATTTTGTTTTGTTTTGTTTGTGATCATTATTACCAGTTTCTGTTGAAGTTTAGTTCCAGGTAAGCTATGTTTCTGCAGGTAATTGGGGGTACTTAGACAACAAAAAATGAAAAAATTACACAATCCATGTTTTCACTTTTGTTTTTCACGTCAAGCCCTTAAGACCATATAATTTTATTTTTTTTCAAAAAAGGAATAACACATTCTTAATATTTTAATAAATAATTCTAACATTCTTTGTCTTTGTCTAAAAGGATTTGTTATTTTAATTTTTTTTGATGCGGTAATGAAATGTTCTTTGGATTTCAATTTTATTTTCGTAGAGACTGAGAAAGTTATGATCATTTCAAATTTCCTAAATTTTAAAATTGTATATAAAAATAGAAATTATTTCTACCTCATATATTTATAGATAGACAAGAACATGACAAATGTGAGACAAAGCTCAGAAAATATCAGAGATTAGTGACACCAAAGACACTGATTTACAAGAATATTGAAAATAATAGTAAATACTGTGAACAAATTCAAAGCTTAGGGCAAGTCTACATCAAACATATACTGCAATTTTCTAACCTAAAATCAAAAATAAAAATTTATCAAAGGTTAAGCAAGTTCTTTAAAGTGTCTTAGAAAATGTGCTAAATGTTCAGAAAGAAACAGAAGCCTATTATTTTTCTAAGCTTTTACATTTTCTTGGGGGTCATTTGTCATTAAGCGCATTAAATAATGTTTGATTTTATTTGGGGGACATGCACCCCCAATGGTGCTGGAGGCTGTTACTGGCTCTGTTTTCTGAGTGACTCCAGCAGTGTTCTGGCAACCATATGCAGTGCCAGGGATTTGAACTAGTACCTGCCAGCCTAGTTCCTTCTCCCTGTACTATCTCTCTGGCCCTCAATGCTCAATATTTTTTGAATGATGAAAGAATTAAAGATTTATTCAAGTACATATGAAAAACAGCTCTGAAAGCCTACATGGAAGAAAAATCTTTAGATACATATAAAGTTGATGCCAAATTAAAGTACTTGTTTTTTTTTAATATACATATCTTCTCTTTTACTTTGACTTGTAGAAATAAAAAATGCGTTGAAAGCTGACTTTTGAAAATAAAGCAAAATGGGATAATTTGGATTGTAAGAATAGCGTGAAGTTTTCTGGACAGTAATAGTTTCTTTTAAATATTTACTAATTTATAAAGAAGCCAAACTTATTTTATTCATTTTAACTTTCCCTTGGAAGTTGATTTTGCTTTGGAAAAGTACTACTGTCTATCAGAGAGAAGTGCACTTTATAATTACATACTCCCATTTTAATAATATAATGCTAACAGTTTGCTGACTTACGCCCTTCATTTCTCATTATGTATTGATATATTAATATAAGATTTATGTATCCTAGCAAAATGTATTATTACTCATGTTTTTGATTTGTGAATATACTTAAGGAGAAATTAAAGGCAACATAAATTCTTGATGTCATTTTTGTAACTTTCCAAGAATGAATATGGCATATACTTTCTAGTAATTTATTTTTACTTTAAATATTTATACTCATAAGAAAATGATAAATTGAAGACGCATGCTCATATATTTCACTTAATATAAATTGAAGTGAAATTTCTACCAAAAATAGAAACTTATTAAAAAGAAAAAAAAGAAAAAAACATATAGGAAATTATTTTCTATAGTTTATATGCTATGCTCTCATATATTCTCCTAAACTCAGGTAGACTCTTTCTTCATTTCCTGGAAAAAAAGAAATGAACTTTGAAAAGTCAATTTTAAAAAAAAATCATGTGTATATGACTTTTTAATACAATAGGGCCCCTTAATAGAATCTTTAAAGTTTCTTTTTTGTTCATTCAGTCTACGAAGTTATTAAACATATTAATGTATTTTATTTCTCATAAATCATTTTACTGTCTCTGTTAAATATTATGACATTATTATTATATTGAAATTAGTTTACTGATAAAACAATAAGAGACTTAAAATCAATTCTTTGGCCATAAGAAAACTGCTCAGTACAGCAACTAATCCTGTGTTTTGGTTGTAACAGACATCACACTGTATTTATCTAACAAATGAAGAAAAATAGTTATCAAAGAATACATTCTTGTTAGAGCTGCACTTTCAATACCTAGGAAAACATGTCAGAGTTGGAAAAATTACTGAAAATCTGCGTTTCTAAGTCTTGTCCTGCCTATATTAATTGTTTTCAGTTTTTCAGCTTTTTTACATTGCTTTTGGAATATAAAAGATGGAATACAAATGATCACAATCCTACAAAATTACGCTGATTTTAAATTCAGAAGTCCAGAGTCAAGTAACCTTTAAGCGCTGAGATTGGCTGGTGCAGATATTTGGGCACTTTATGGGTTCTGTTTGTGTAGAAATGCTGTATGTTTTTTAAAGGCCTTTCCCTTTATTTCTGCTGTCTTTATTCACAGGTAGCCTGACTCCATGTCTTTATAAGTTTCCTGATCATACCTTGAGCCATGGCTTTCCTCCCATGCACCAGCCCCTGCTGGCAGAGGACCCCACAGCTGCTGATTTCAAGCAGGAACTCAGGCGTAAAAGTAAATTGGTTGAAGAACCAATCGACATGGATTCTCCTGAAATCCGAGAACTTGAAAAATTTGCCAATGAATTTAAAGTGAGGAGAATTAAGTTAGGTATGCACTCATTAAGAGCAAGGAGCAAATAACTTCAAATCTTTGTTCAGTTCAGTCTGTTAGTCTCTTAGACTCTGCTTAAAAGGTCAAAACAATTTTCAGTATGTTTCGCTAGAAAGTTTGTACAGATATCAAAATCCTACCAAAACCTTTATTTCCTTGCTAATTCTTAATTCACTAATTACATATTTTTTAAATTAATGACAATTATTTCTGAGGATTAGTTTACAAGTGCTTGCTTACATATTTTATTTGAATTGTATGTTTGTGCATAATAATCCAATTATTTATGATACATTCTTGTATCAAAGGCATAAAAAGTACAAGTTAAATATGTGCTTGTCCTTCCTATGTCATATCTATCCTATGTCTTCCAATATTCTGTATACCTACAGAGACATTTTATGCCAATACAAAGCAAATGCATACATTTTTTTTTATATCCATGTGGTTTTATTTTTATTTAACTATTTATGTTGAAAACTTTTCAGTATTAAGTTTTAGAGGGCATTTTTAGTGGAACTGCCAAATTTAGCTTTACAAACATACTATAGTTAATTGGCCCACTCTTGACAGAATTGTTTCTCATCTCACTATTAAAAATGACTATAAAAATGTCATGAAACTCACTTCCTAAATATTATATTTATCCTACACATTAATTCCTAAACACTTATGTGTAGGAAAGTGCTAAAAGCAGAATTTCTTTATCAAAGAACATTAGCATTTGTAATTTTAATGCATGTTAAAGCAGTATCTACAGAGGTTGTTTTATATTTCACCCTTACCAGTAGCAGCTATTTTATTATCACTCACCCTTTACAGTCTGAGCTCTGTGGTGACAGGCTATGCTTTGTGTGACCATTCATTTTAATGGTTTATCATCAGCGTTTGAACTACAACTGGTACATTTAGAGAATAGTCACTGTCACTGTCCTCCCATTGTCCATCGATTTGCTCAAGTGGGCCCAGTAACGTCTCCTTTGGCATATCAAATACATCACGGGTAGCTTGCCAGGCTTTGCATGTGGGTGAGATACTCTCTGTAGCTTGCCGAGCTCTCTGAGTGGAGTGGAGGAATAAAACCTGGGTTGGTCGTTTTGGCCACGTGCATGGCAAACACCCTACCCACTGTGCTATGGCTCCAGTCTCTAGAAAATAGTAGGGAAAATATAGGGTAATTCTTTTGGGTATTTACACCTTGGAGAAGTCAAACTTCATGGTAGTTTGGTTTAAAATTTTTTTAAATTATAACAAAAATGAATGAAAAAGTCATTTCAAGTACAATCAAATTCCCTTTCAGTGAACTTTGTTCATTGACTTTGCTGTCAACCTAAGTGTTTATAACATGAAATAACTATAACAATTAACAATTTTAATTCATGAAAGAATATGAGGGGGGGAACTGAATTGATAGAAATTGTGGTTTAACTGCTGCACTTATGAAATGAATCACAGGTAATTTTATAATGATATCGATTGATGAGCATAGTATATAACTATTTTATGCACACAGGCATATAGCCTTCGGCTCTGAATTTGTAGTTAACCAATTGTGTAATACACATAGCAGCAGGCATCTTCTTTCTTACATTTATTTTTGGTTTTCTTTTTATATTGCTCAAATATAATGAGCAATATAAACATCAGCATTGTAATGGTTCAAATTATATGTTGATGGTTTACATCAACTTGTACTTTAAAATGATTGGAACAATCAATGAGAATCATTTGCCTGCAGATAGAAGCATCAACAAAATGATGTAATAAATGTGCTCAAGGTATGCATGTAATGTTGTGTGATCAGTCAGTCTTATAATAAAAGTATTTGACGAGAAATAAACATAATTTTGAGTTTTACTTGGAACTTTTCATTGCATTTTTCACTTAATTTCATTTAAAGTATTTATATCCATTTTATATTATTAAGCATATATCATGATATCTAAAAAATTGAGAAAAAACATTTAAATAATCTCATAAAATGTTGTGATGTAACATCCAATTTGACCCAATCCAATTTGTTTGTATTTAACTTCTTTTGACATCTAGAAAAATAATCTATTAACCAAAAGAGACATTTTGGAAGTATTGGACAATTCTACACTGAACTTTAACTATCAACCCTAAATTTCTAACATCTCTATGCTTAAATCTAGTATTTGATGTTGACAAACATACATCAGTTTGTAGGATGACATGCCAACAAGGAATGCTGGAATGCTGGCACTGGCTTTTTTTATTATCCATTCACAGGATACACCCAAACAAATGTTGGGGAAGCCCTAGCGGCTGTACATGGCTCTGAATTCAGTCAGACAACTATCTGCAGATTTGAGAATCTACAACTCAGCTTTAAAAATGCGTGCAAACTAAAAGCGATATTATCCAAATGGTTGGAGGAAGCTGAGCAAGTTGGAGGTACTAAAGATGTATTTCTAAAGGCTTTGTGATGCTTAATCTAAAACCTATGGGTTCTGATCGGTAGGATTAATGCTACAGAGAGCTTTGAAGTCTTGCTCCGCATTTTTCCCCCCTGAGATTAAAAGAAAATGATTTGTTATTACACTTAAAAAAAAAAAAGCAAAAGCACATGGCACATGTCGAAATAAATTTACTGAGAAGTCAAACAGTAAGAATATAAACTGTGTGGATAAAGCTTTCTAGATGAGGTATCGATGCAATTTTTCTTTTTGCGTACACTAGTCTTCTAGGTGAATAACCTAAAACACAGCAAGATAAGCAATTTTAGGTGATGGAGTTTCCTACTCGTATTAATGCCAAGGCAGGGTAGAGCAAGGTTGCTCCAAAGTGGACATTATCAAGAGATAGTTGTCTATGCAATATCAGTATTAACTTTAATTTCTTTCCTTATTTTTAAATGAGGGCTTAGAATATACACTATTGCAAACTTTTAAAACAGAATTATAGTGTTTTTTGCTTGAATTGTCATTTCAGAAGTGTGAAATCTAAATCTAATCTTTTTTTTTATACTTAGTGTTTTGTACTTATCTTTCTATTTCCCATTACAGCTTTATACAGTGAAAAAGTGGGAACAAATGAAAGGAAAAGGAAACGGAGAACAACTATAAGGTATTCTTTTGAAATGTTTAAAGTTAACAGAGGGAGAAAAAAATCTAAATATGTAATCTGTATTTGAATCTAAGTGTAACATAGCAATTTGTTAATGTTAAATAGATAACTGTAATACATGTGAAAAACTGACATTTTACCATTTGATAAAAGTGTGTATTTTTCTCATCAAACACCTGTTTCACATATTTTGGATAAAAACAAATTGAGGTTTTATAGAAGTTTCCTTTTACACATGTCTTCATCAGACAATGTGGTATTTATTATTAGAAATCAAAAAGAATGTCTTTCTATTTCTTAGAAACTTCTAAGGCATCCTGGTGTTTCAAACCAGAAAGTTCCTCTGTGAGCTTTTTGTAATTTCCATAAAGCTTACAGAGGAAATGTTAAAATATAGGATTTCACTTTGGTTAGGTGCCCACTAAACTTTTCATTTAAATAATCTTAGTGATTTCTGAAGGACATTTAGACCTGTTCTTTTTCAAGAAGTTGGTGCCCTCTTGTGGCAGAAGTGGGGTAAACATAGAAATGTGTTCCCTTATTTTCTGTGATTTCTTCAATTACCGTGTCTAAGACCAACTACTAAATATTCAACAAATAGCACATCCAAACTTTCTAAAGATTTGAAAGTTTTTTAAGTCATTAAGTTATCTTTCACATTAATACATAGAGAATTCAACCTAACTGAATCTCCCCTCCAAACATGGACAACACAATCTCACTCTATGGCCCCTCCCATCCAGCATTGCAGCCAAAGATGCCTTGGAGAGACACTTTGGAGAGCAGAATAAACCTTCCTCTCAGGAGATCATGCGAATGGCTGAAGAACTCAATCTTGAGAAAGAAGTAGTAAGGGTTTGGTTTTGCAATCGACGGCAGAGGGAGAAACGGGTGAAAACTAGTCTGAATCAGAGTTTATTCACTATTTCAAAGGAGCATCTTGAATGCAGATAAAATTTGTGAACTAGCCAGTTTTCCCACTTTTCTTTGTATTCAACAAAAAAGAATTGTTTGGTTGACTCTAAAAATTATTTTATAATTGCTTTGAGAAGCATTTAAAAATACGAGCTTTAAATTGTACTGGTAATTATTTTCAAATAATCAATATCAGAAGCCACTTACACATCTTAAGCTAATGAAACCCATAGGTAAAGACAATCGTTCTGTTAAGTTTTTCTCTTTTCCTCCGATCCCCCCCGCCCCAGTTCCCTCTTTTTTTAGCTATATAAACACAAGGCACAGGATTATACAGAGGGATTGTTTAAAGTTACTTTTCCAAAGAGTTTTACTGGCTTCTTAAATATTTCAGTCAATAATGCCACAGAGTTCAAACATCTACAGCGAGGATCCAATTAGAGAATTGTTACCATTGGTTAATGACAGCTCACCATCAACTCTAATATTTTCTTTGAACCAAGTACTGAATTTAAGAGCCTTGAGTGCCTTAAGATTTTATTATTACATTCAGGAACGAATTTCATAAATGGTACACATAAAGCACATATTTAGGTCACAGAACCCGAAGAAGTGTTTTTAGAGAACTGTAGAAATATTAATTTATGATCTTTTTATTTTCCCCAGACATTAGCATCTTTGATGTGTAGCTATGTAAAAAAAATAAAGAAAAAGAAAAATGCTCTAGGAATTCTTTAACCCAAATCTGCTCTTATATAAATTGTAGCAATGCAGCTGTCTGGCTTCTGTTTAATTCTTTAATCTAGGAAAAAGAGTTTTATACAATTTTTTTTAAAGGAAGGGAGTGTGCTGTTAACAGTTAGAACTTGAAGGTACCACGTTTAATAATGCAACCTACTCTAAATCTCACAATCTAGACACTCTTGTTGAGACTAGAAAGAATGCACTTTTTAGTTTAAGTGGGTAGAATTATTATTAAAAATTTGATGTACTGAGCTTTTTATTCAGGGTATTTTTAAACCTCAAGACATTAATTTATAATAATGCACTTCTTTGGAACTTGTAAGTAAACTGTGATGTAATATCAGTTTTTTTAATGTTGATTTTGTGTGTTTTGAATGTAAACCTGCTGGCAAAGTTTTATTTTGTGAATAACTTTAGTATTTAGAATGTTTACTAAATTACACTGTCTAGATCCTTGCTTCTTACATTAATAAAGATCAAGCATAATAAACATTATAATCTATGTAGATCATATGTGCACACATAACCATTCATTGATTGGTCAGAAACTGATACATTAATGAAAAAAGATAGTAGTTTTCAGCCTCCTGATTCATACTAACCTCACGTGGTAACTAGAAGGTGCCCGATGCAATATAGTAGAGGCTTCTAAAAGAATGCATTAATTTCAGGGGCTGGAGCAATAGCACAGCAGGTAGGGCATCTGCCTTGCACGCGGCCGACCTGAGTTCGATTCCCAGCATCCCGTATGGTCCCCTGAGCACCGCCAGGAGTAATTCCTGAGTGCAGAGCCAGGAATAACCCCTGTGCATTGCCGGGTGTGACCCAAAAAAGCAAAAAAAAAACCAAAACATTAAACAAAAAAACATTAATTTCAAATTATTCAGTTTACCTAAACATAAACCATACATAACTGTGAATTCTTATATAAAAAAAGGCATTGGATGCACACCTATCTCCACAAAAAAGTTTGTATGCACATATTTGAAACTTATAAAATATCATCAATATAAATCTAAAAGTGAGTTTTTACATTTTAAATGTTTATATTTAATTTTAATTTTAAGGACTTTAATGACTATATAATTTTAATGACTACATAACAGAATAACATACTTAGAACATAATCACAAGTATGTTTAGATATTATAATTTTCCCATATTATACATGCTTTTTATATGATACAAGCACTAGAAACCAATTTTCTCCCCTTACAGAATCCTGAATAATCCACACTTGACTCAGAAATAAAATTCTTTAGTTATTTAGCTTTTCACTAGTAAACTAGTGAGTAAACTAGTATTTACTGCTAACTCATATCTATAAGCTTGAAACAATATTTTATATCTAGAAATTTTTTGTTCCTCAAAAAGTAGAAAATGGTCTAAAATTGCAAATAAATGACATGCAATTTGCAGTGCAATACAGACGCTCATACTTTTTAGAATAAACACTAAAAACTCTTTCATATTAAGTTCTATGAGAGGGTTAATGATAAATCTTTAGAAATATAGTCAACTTCATTAAAATATAAAGTCACTTCAGCTTACTAAGTATATTCTATTCAAGTTAACCTGGTAGAAATAGTCAACAATTTTATCTATTTGTACAATTTACCTTGACATTTTTATCATTATTGATAGAAATACATTGTCTAAAGATACATTTTCAGTGTTTGGGGGACAAAAGAGGCTTGTCTATGCTTATATTTGTGTAGAATTTTTTTCCCCCAAGATCCTGAGAGAAATGGAGCAAAGAGAGTAATTAATGGGGAATGAGTGTGATCTGAGACTCCACAATCCTCAATCTCCCTCTAAGGCAAATTGAACCCAATTGACCCCTAAGATAACTGAGGTTAAGAAGAATGGTCTTAAGTTATTTTATGGAACTCACTTCATCAGAGAAAAAAAGGGAAGCTTGATGTTTTTCTATAATTATGAAAGCCTATTCAAGCAGTATCATGTCAGAGAAAATCATCACAGTTCTCTTTCCAGACTAGGGCACATACCCTGCTTTAACACCTGAGAGTCTAGAGCAGTGAATTTTTATTTTTTTTAATTTAATCACTGTGAGATAGAGCATTACATAGTCGTTCATGATTGTGTTTCAGTCATAGAATGTTCCAACACCCATCCCTCCACCAGTGAAACTTCTGCACCAATGTTTCCAGTTTTCTTCCCACCCAACCCCGCACCCCAATCTGCATCAATGGTAGGAACCTCTCTCTCTCTGCCCTCTCTCTCGCATGCGCTCTTTCTCTCGCTCTCATTTTGGACACTATGGTTGGCAATACAGATGTTGAAAGGTTATCATGTATATCCCTTTATCTGCTTTCAACACTCAGTTCTTGTCCAGTGATTATTGCCAACTAGTACTGTCATAATGAACCCTCTATCGAACTACCCTCACCCCACACACACTTGTGGTAATTTCCAGCCCACAAGGAGCGATCGAAAGTATGTGATTACTGGATTACACGTGGCCAGAGTATAGCTTCTTTCAACAAACATTTAGATATAAATAAAATGCAGGTTATATAAAGTGCATAAGTTTCTAGAGTTTTGCCCTCTGTTGTATAAGATTACAAGCTCGAGTCTCTACCAGTTCCTTCTAAAATTAAGTATTCCCTCAAAGGTTAAAGTACAGTCACTACAACACAATCACCTGACTGTCACCTATCTTATCAATTGGTATTGACACGTAGGTGACACCTTTTACTGTCCGATATTCAAAAATATCCACCCATCACATTTGTATGTGGGAGAATATTTTGGGTTAAGTTACATTATTTTTTGTGTCAGAGATATTGCTCTATGCTTCTGTTCTATTGGCAACCTCTCATTCGGATACAATTGTCAAACCTCTTTACCAAAGTGAAAATAGGTAGGGAAAGCAAATGTGTGTGTGTGTGTGTGTGTGTGTGTGTGTGTGTGTGTGTGTGTGTGTGTTTTAAACAGTATTCTTTTTTTTTATTAGTGAAACACCATGAGGTACAGTTATAGATTTACAAATTTTTGAGCTTGGGTTTCGGTCATACCATGATCAAATACCCATCCCTCCACCAGTGCCCATTTTCCACCACCATGGATAATATCCCTCCCCCCTCATCCCCCCCTGCCACTGTGGCAGGGCATTCCCTTTTGTTAAACAGTATTCTAATTAAACACTTTGCATACAATTTTTTTTTATTCTTTTTGGCGTTGGGGGTGGATATTTGGGACACACTGGGCTGTGTAGGGGCTTACACTTAGCTCTGCATTCAGGAGTCACTCCTGGTGATGCTGGGGGGGGGTCAGAGAGAGGACAGGGAACATTAGGCGGTGCCTGTGAAAAACTGGATTCAGCCTCATGCAAGTAAGTGCCTTACACCTTGTACTATCTCTCTAGCCTCTGCTTCTTACTCTTAAGGATTCAGAAGAAACTTTTTTATTTTAGCAAAACAGTATAGTACTGAAAATTTATAGTCACTGTGAGAACTGACATCAGACTGTTTTATAAATCTAGCCAAATTAAAATGGCTACTTTCCTTTCTGTGTTATCAAGTCTTCTACACATTTACATTTGATTGAAATGAAAAATAACACTAAACACTTTATTTTAAAAATAAGATAAAAAAAAGAAAAACTTGTATGCTCTGAAAGTTCTAGGAGATGAATCTTACTTGAAATAAGATTTAAAAAAGAAAGAAAAAAATGTTGTATGTGTTGAAAGTGGACTATGGACTGAACTATGGACTATGATTGCCACTCAATGCCTCTTTTGCAGACCACAACACCCAAAAGGAGAGCGAGAACAAAGGGGAATGCCCTGCCACAGAGGCAGGGTGGGAGGGGGGGTGGGGGGAAATGGGCACTGGTGGAGGGATGGGTATTTGATCATTGTATGACCGAAACTCAAGCACAAAGATTTGTAAATCTACAACTGTACCTCATGGTGCTTCACTAATAAAAAAAAAAATGTTGTATGTCCTTAAAGTTCTAGGAGAGGAATTATCAGAACAAGTCAATGTAAAACTACCACTCTGTAGGTAATCCATTTACAAACAGCAGTTCCTGTATCAGCTCCCCATTCTAAAAATATGTAAGTTTTGTTAAAGTGGAAGTAGCAGAGTTATGTAAATATTCCATGTAGGAAAATAATAAAAACTTTTTTCTTTGGAAAACCTACCAAACATGCATAAGATTTTAATTTTAGAAAGTCAATATCATAATGCATAAGATTTTAATTTTATGTAAGTCAAAAATCTAAAAAGAGGAAAAAGGCGTAATAGCAATAAATCTTTATTGGGATATTTTTAACAAAATACTTTTTTAAAAACAAAAGTCCCCTCATGTAAACAATAAAGTAAATAAAGTTAGTTGGCAATATTATGTACATCCAAAGATAAAAGCATGATCTGGGTTAACATTCCACAGTCGAGTACAATGTTTTGACCCACCAACATTCAGGAAGATTGTATTTTAATACTACTATAATGAAATTTAATCAGTAAACATAAAATAGTTTATGGATTAAAATGTAAATTTAACTTTTCATTCTTCTCACCAATTCATATGGCACTAGATCTAAAATAAATTTCGCTTGTCAATATTGATATAAAATGTCCACCATACTAAGCTGACATGGTTATATCTTATCTGATCTTCAGAGCGTTCATGGTAGAATGTGCTGGAACCCAGATATCACAATGTCATTTTTCAAAACAAACCTAACTCTAAATTCTATCTCTAATATGCTATTTTCAGTATCTCTCACTCTCCATATGTACATTAAATAACACAGTAACAGCAACAGCAACTTTTAAGAGTACTGCTAATACATTAATACACATAGGCAATAACTGCTGACAAAGTTGTAGCTTACATACCAAGAAAAAAGTGCTTTCTTTTGTTTTAAAATCTAAGCTGAGTATTGTCACAGAAGTGTTACTTGAGAATGATAGTTTAAATTTAAGAGTGTTAAATACATACTTAATATGGTTGAAAATATATTTAATCATAATTCATAGGAAAATTTTGTCAATCTTAGAAGATTAAAATATATCACTTTATTACTATAAATTTTTGTTATTTTTTTTAATTATATTCAATTTTACAGCCTCTTCCAAAGGCAGCCTGGATCATTTTTTTAAGAGGTCTCAATTTTTGTCTGAAATGCAGTCCTTTTCTTTCTGTTAAAATACGCTAAAGATGTGCACAATATGTTTGTGCTTTTTAAGGCAGGTGCCAAGCACATTTCAAAAGGTAATAAAATTACCAACTAGAATGTTCTCCCAAAGGAAAAAAAAAGCTCACAACAGTTTTTCTTTTGTTTAAAACAGATGTTTAAATAGCACTCTTCTTTTAGATCATTTAAAAATGATCTGGCAGCTGAACGCCTATGAACATAACACATAAATGCTTACAAAGGAAAAGCAACTGATACAGAATTAATTATGTACTTTTTAATATTTTTACACATCTAAGCTGGTGCCTATTGGCATTTCACAAGATTTTGTCTTGAGCATAAAAAAATTTATAACATAAATACCCTAGGTAATGAATGTAATTTCTTTATGCCATGCAGAAATTAACTTTTTATAAATCATAACTCTTAAATAGTTTTGATTAAAATCCAAATTGTTCCCAATTTTGCATCATTGATATTCTTTGGCAGGAGATTCAAAATAGCCATGGGTTAGGAAACAACTGCTTACTTATGGTCTCATTCACCATTTCTGCAAAATGTTTTGTAAAAAGAATCTGTACTATGTTTGCTTTATCCTAAATAATTGCAAATAATAAAAATACTTTTTTAAAAAAACTAATCCACTCCTAAGGCTTTGAGCTGCCGTTCAATCTCTTCATCAGAGATTGTAGTCTTTGAAGTTGAGGCTGATGGTAAGCTTCGGGCAGCTGATGGAGCTTTGGCCATCTATATAGAAGAGAGAAAAAAATAATTAAGAAGTGCATTATCTCACATTCAGGCTGAACATAAAGGACATGCTATAGAGCAGTTTATTCTAGATACAAAAACCATGTACCAAAAAGTACTGTCATCTGAAATAACTTAGCGATTAAAATGGTAGAACTTATTTTGAGTTGAGAAGAAAATGCTCCTACCCTTCCAGAGATTTCAATTCCAATTTCATCAAGAACTTGGTTCACAATATCTTGACTTTCTTCTTCATCATCAGAGCCATCAAAGATGTCATCAAGTGTGTCATTGACTTAGTTGTGGAAGGAAAAAAAAGCTGTCACTTTCAATCAGACATCAGTTTATGTTTACATTTTGAGTAGAACGCATATCACTGGCATATTTAATACTATGGAACAGAAAACTTATAACTATAAAATTCACCTTCAAAGAACTTAGCTCACTGATACATACATTTTTCAAGCCCTAAATATGAAATGATGGAATTTCAACCCAAAATATTTTAGTAAATATAAAATAATATTAATGATGTTGGCAAAATATTCTAACAATGTCTAAGATTCACTATTTCATTAAACTCATACAAAGCATGTGTATTTAACCTTCAGGGATTATTAACACTACAGCACTCCCCCCCTTTAACTCTCCCTTTCTATAATATCTGTGGAGTCTTCATATCAGGCACTGTGAGGAAGAAATTTCTGAAAGTCTAAGGTTGGCACACAGTGTAAATATAATTGAGGAGGCAGAAAGAGCAAGGACAAAGGGAAAAAAAACAAAGGGGAAAGAAGCAAGTATTTATACTTAAGTGGAAAACAATAAACAAATGTAAAGATAAAGGATTATAAACCTTCAGAGAGAGATTGATCAGATGTAAGAAAGAACAGCATAAGCAGAGAAATGATGGAAGGATAGTATCACAAACAAGGCAAATTAAGATTTTTCTGTTCGGTTTATTATTTAAGGTATATAGATGGGAAATGGTTAGGAGAAAAGAATGGAACCATTTGGCCTATTATCATTCTCTCTTAATAAGCAGCATATGTGCTACAGAAGAAGAAAAGCAGATAATATGGTATATTTTCTTTATATGAAGTGAACTCCCTATAAAAAGTAGTAACTACTCAGCAAGAGTCCTCTAATTTTATAATGTTCTTAGCAGGGACATCCCGGGACTTTAGGACTACTTCAGTAACAATACAATACTACTGTTTAAGAATCATGAACTCCTATAAAAGGTGGCTGACTGATGCAAGTATTTTACAACTAAAACATGCTTTTAACATGAGATAAACATATCTCATTAAACACATCATTATTACTTTGTGACAAAAAAGATCTGAAAGTCATTTTAGATGTCCATTAGTTTCCCTATTTGGCATATAAATCTTAATTATTTGTATCCTTGACATTATTAATAAAGACTGATATTGGTTCAGGTACCTGGTTTGTACAAGCATGTTTGACAACTGGATATATTTCTGTTAGCCCAACAGTATAATTTGAAAAGGGCTAAATGATTTGAAATGCTCTGAAAAGGGCTAAAGAGCATACGTCTACAACAAAGAAGTATCACTACTGAATAAAGTGAACATTTAGATGAATTAGTATCTCAATTTTCCCACTTATTGCTAGGTAACTTCGAGAATCAGTCACTATATCACTCTGGGCTTCAGTACTCTCACCGAAAAAATGAACAACCTTGGCTCAAATATGCTTTTGATTTGTGAACTGATTTTATTTTGTAGTCACCAAGAAGTCGCAGAAAGAATATAATGTCAGACTCAGAGAGAAAAGTATGAAAAAGAAACTTAGCAGTTATGATAATCAGATGATAGTGGGGAGAAGGAGAGGCCAGTCAGAATTTATTTATAAAGGTCTGAACACAGAGTAGGTGCAGGAATGAAAAGAAAGTTATGGAAAAGAGAGGGCAGAATAATGTAATCAGGGATTAAGAAATATGACTACATTCAGGAAAAAAAGCCATAACGTTAATAAAAAATAAAAAGATTTCTCAAAGATCTTATTTCCAAAGTTTGAATATGAATAAACTTAAAAAGAGTGTACAATAAAGACATTTATCAAAGCCTTGAATTTATCTTTGGATAAAAATAGTAGCTAATGTTAATGTGCACAACTAAGGTGGTAAAACAGAAAGTACCTATCAATGTCTCATGCGTTTCAGAGCATCTGCAGGGCCAGAGTGCTAGGGTGCTTGCCTTGCATAGAGCGCGGCCAAGCGCCGACCCCCCAGATGGTCTCTCTCCTGGGTCCACCAAGAATGATTCCCCAGTGCACAGCCATGGGTGAGCCCCAAACACCTTTGGGTGTGGCCCCCAAACAAAAAAACAAAACAGAATCACGTGTTTTGCAAAGCACTGAAATAAAAAATGAAAACAATTATGAGAGATGTGTTTAAGTATAAACTTACTGACTCTTCTTGATTATAGTTTAATGGAAAAGTTAATTCCTCTGTTAAAAATTTGCTCACACCTGTGCCACATCACTGGCAATAGCATAACAGATGCTGTGACTATTATATAAATGACAATTCCTTTAAGTGTTTCTGTCATTAAAACTCAATATCCTTACAGATTATAATTTTTAAACAACAGATTAAAAGTAAAAACCAATGTTTTTAGAATTTATTTTAAAAATTTTCTTTTGGAGGGTTTTAGAGTTAAGGCTTACTCCTGACTCTGCACTCAGGGATCACTCCTGAGTCCTTGAGGTACCATATGAGCCAGGGATCGATGAAACACTCAGTCACATGCAAGGCAAGTCTTGCTTTACTTCCTAACTACTGAAGACATACAGGCAGTATCATTTAAGCCCTAAATAAAAAAAATAGATATTATATAACATATTAGACAGTGGTGAGTCTAGTAATTCATATAATTAAATTAGATGCAACTGTATATACTATTGCTATTATATTAATGTGCCAGAATAGGCATAGCTTAGGGAAAAATATCTTCACAAACCATAGTATCAGTTTTAACACAGCATGTAAGCTATGATTCAATCTGACCAAGATACAATGAAGGCTCACACATTCATGAACTATCTATCTGGGAAGAATCTGATAGTACAGACAGACCAAAGACTTTTAAAGTTTGTACTGAGAGTATTTAAAAAATGTAAACAGACAAACCAAAACAGAGGTGGGAAAATTTAAACTAATACAGGAACATTTACCAAATATTATCAAATACATTGAAAACAAAACAATTTTATCAAAGAGGTTCAATACATTAGTTCATATTAAAGGTATGCAATATTAACGGCATTTTAAATAAAAGTCTTCAGGGAAGGTTTGGGGTCAGGTGTACTGTGTTAGATTATTAAGCTTTTTTGTTTCATGTTTTGAACTCAAAAAAGATTTTAATTGAAAGAACAGAAACAAAGGGAAAGAGCGCAGGAAGACTCTCTTTCCTATTTGTCAATAAAGTGAAGATGCTGATACAATACGGCATAGAAATATAGCACAACATATCCGTTTAGATAAACATTAAGATTTTCACATTGCTAATTTAAAAATAAACTGGAGTCACAATATAGACATCTACCTAGAAAAAAATAAGTGCTGTGTCCTTTTATGAAAAAAAAAATGCTTGCATGAATGAGAATATGAGTCTACTATAAGTGACAATCCAAAGATGTAAAAACAGTAAATTTTATTACAAGTAATTGAACTCACTCATTTCCTCAGTCATTTCCATTTTCATGTTCTCCTTCTGAAAATTCTGCATTGTTTGTAATGTCTTTTGAGGATCCATCTTCTTGTTAACTGCCTGCATTGTCTTAAAATATATGAAAATACCTATGTTAGCAGTATAATTATAAAAGTTTACTAGGGAGTTCAATTCAAAGGGACACCATATAAGAAATAGGCTATTTAAAGATATACTTCCTGCCACAATCAAGTGTGAGTGTTGAATATTCTAGATTTAAAAAAGAGAAATGCTTATTTGAAAGCCATATGCACAACATCTACATAATAAAGACCAATGCAAAAAACTAAATAGCAGACAAAAATTATGTAACAAAAAAGCACTTCCAACATAAAATTTGCTGCTATTAAAATGGCAAAATTACACCTGCCTAATCTGTGGTAAGTAGGTAATAATTAAATCTAAATTTTAAAATTTGATTTATAATTTTTATTATATTTAAATTAAAAAATGTTAGCATATATATATATATAAATATATTGCTTTTTGGGTCATACCCGGCGATGCACAGGGGTTACTCCTGGTTCATGCACTCAGGTATTACTCCTGGCGGTGCTCGGGGGACCATATGGGATGCTGGGAATGGAAACCGGGTTGGCCGCGTGCAAGGCAAACACCCTACCTGCTGTGCCATCACTCCAGCCCCCTATTAATATATTTTAAACCATGTTTCCAGAAGTGAACGCAACATTTGGAAGATTGAAGTCTAGTATATTTACAATTACTTTAATGTGTAAATGTGTAAATGCTAATATAGCTCCAAATTTTTGTGTAAAAGCTCAGTATTAAAAATAAATATGATATAAAATATTAGCTTAAAGATAAGATGCAAACCATCAATTCTCAAAACAATCAGTGTGCTAAGTGATAGTAATCATAGTCTGTCTGACATAGTTCTGTGCCTCCTCACTAGTTCAGTATACCTAATTCTCCAGTGACTTTTTACTATTCATCTTAAAAGCCAACTCCACAACTAAATTATAAGGCTAAACATTAATTGAACTCTGCTAAAAAAGTCATTCTTGGGCCAGAGTAATGGTACAGGGGTTAAAGAGCATGCAGATGTCCCAGTTCTATCCCCATCATCACAAATTCTTATAAGCCAAATCCCCCAGATGTGGCCCGGGTTAGGCCTGGCACCACAGGGCTGGCGCATCTCTTCATCCCAAGGCCTCTGCAGGAGTGGCTGGGTCAGGTCCCTGGGTACCACTTTGGAGGCCCGCCTCAAATTAAAAAGCCAATCTCATTTGCATTAATGTCCTCTAGTCACAATGATCTTTCATTTCCTCAAACATGACCTACCATTTGTCTGCATGTGCTCTCTCTAGCTTGGAATGTTCTTGACCATTTGCTTTCCCTATTAGCAACACTTCAGATTTCAGTTTATATACTGTTTTCTCAGAGAATACTCCCTGTTAATCTAGATTTCAACAGGTGCCCTCTTAAATCCTACTCAGTATAGATGAAAGTTTTTTATTTATCGGTGGAAATTATATTACTTTACTTCAGACTTAAAGTATTACTTTAAATAATAGTGAATATAATGATGAGGCCCTCCCATTGATCGTCGATTTGCTCGAGCGGGCCCAGTAACGTCTCCATTGGAGACTTTGTTGTTACTGTGTTTGGCATATCGAATATGTCACGGGGAGCTTGCCAGGCTCTGTCGTGCGGGCGAGATACTCTCGGTAGCTTGCCGGGCTCTCCGAGAGGGGCGGAGGAATCGAACTCGGGTCGGCCATGTTGGCCGCTTGTAAGGCGAATACTCTACCGCTGTGCTATCGCGATGATCAGAGACTTGCTAATGCCTATAAAATCTTACAATGTGTCAGGTAGTGTTCTAAAAACTTTGCATATAATACTACTTGCAATTATGCCAGTTAAGGCAAACAGATCTTTGTGTAGAAGTAGTATCATTTAATTCTTTTTAAACAAATGGAAAATAAATACAAAAAACTGTGAAAAAAATTGCAAAATCCCACAACTACTAATGGAAGTAACATTTGAATCCAATATACCTGACAAATTGCCTCAATGAACTGCTTTTATATAAACTATTTTTTATATTTATATAAAATTTATTTATTTTTATATAAACTGTAATATAAACTATCTTATATTATAGTTTATATTACAGTCTATATAAAAGCAGTTATAGTTTATAGTAGTTGATATAAATTATTAACCTGTAATACAGGTTAAGCCCTTGTTTAATTTTGGTTTCCATTTCATCCATATCACATGTTAGAGTCACAAACTTAAGTTTCTATACAAAGGAGCATTTGCTGAATCAAAATATTTCTTAGAAACTAAAGTGAAAATTGCAGGACCATATGAAGTAACCCCAAGGTAAAAAAGTTTATAAAGTGTCTTCTTGAAGAAAAAAAGAATGCTAATCAATTTTAATCAATTTATATTAAAACTAGGTGTATTTTAAAAGAAAGAAATATGAAACAAGATTAAGTATGAACTGGTTACAAAAACACAATGCTCACAGGAATCTAACCCTGTAATTTCTCTAGTAGCAATGGGTACATATGTGATAATTCTGTATTGATTTTGAAGAATCTGAATACCATGAATAACAAGATGGGTTTTCTTATAATATTTTCCTAACTTTCTTAATATAAATAATTGACTTTTACTGTTCTGTCAGTTTTATTTTCATTTGTTCATTACTCATATTCAGCCCTCCCTATCTCTAACACCAAGTGGTATTTTTAAGAGCTAGGTCTTAAAACATTCTGCAAAATTTATTAGATCACTTTTTTTTAAGGTCTGTGCAGTTTATTGAATCGATTCATATATAGTGGACAGTTGCCTTTTCATATATGTATTTTTTCCCTGGCTACTCCCAGTGGAGTAGTCAAAGGGATCATTCAGTGCTAGGGAGCAAAACCTAGGTTTCCTCAAGCAACACATAAACTCCAGTCCATTGAGTTTTCTCCTGGTTGCTCTACTATATTTTAACCTCTTCTATCCCTAAAAAAGACCCTAGTATTCGTGACAATGGAGGCTCTGTCTTAAACATCTGATAGCTCAAGTTCTTAACATTAAGGAGCTCATTATTTTTTAAATAACTGAAAGACTCAGAGTCCTTTAAAACCTATATAGTAAAAAACTTTGTTTCCAATATCAAAAGCAAAAATTAAAAATAAGTTCCTGATAAAACTGACAAATCCTTCTGATACTTATGTGTCCTTCTGACTCATTTATAAAAATTAATCAAAGCTATGCAGGAATCAAAATTTACGGATTAAAAGACTAAAAATCTTGTTTCAAGTCAATTAAAAAATAAAATATGAAGTTGAGCAAGTAAAGCCTTTCAATAAGTGGTATTGGATCAACTGGTAGGCCACATGCATAAAAATGAACTCAGACCTCTTTCTAATGCCATGCACAAATGTCAAATCAAAATGGATTAAAGACTTCAATTTAGACCTGAAGACATAAGGTACACAGAGAAAAAGATAGGCATAACTCGTCAAGACACTGAAGATAGAGGCACTTTTAAGAATTGAATTAGTGTTTCTGCAATTCAAAGCACACAATGGCCAAAATATAAAGATGGCTCACAGACTGAGAGAAATGATTTGGCCACCACTCTTCTCATAATGGTCTAATATTGAATACATAGAAAGCAGTGGCAAAACTTTACAGGAAAAAAAAATCCAATCACATCAAATTGGGGAGAAGAGATGAACAGAAACATCCTAAAAGAAGAAATACAAATGGCCAGAATGCATATGAAAAAATGATCTATATCACTAATCATCTATGGAAATGCAAATCAAAACAACAAAACCTCACACCAAAGAGACTATCACTTACCAAAAGAACAACAACAACCAGTGGTGGTTTGGATGCAGGGGTAAAGATACCCCCCTCATTGCTGGTGGGAATGTCAACTGATCCAGTGTTTTAGGAAGATTATATCTTACATTAGAGATACCTAATAAGATTATACCTTATATCAGAGATTATATCTCTCTATTAGAGATACCTCAAAAAACTGGGACTTGAGCTTCCACAAAATCAGCAATTGCACTCCTGAAAATAGAACTTTAGAGCCCAAAAACACAATGTCAAAAGACATCTGCCCTCCTATGTTCACTGCAGCACTATTTACAAAAGCTAACACCTGGAAACAACCCAAGCACCTAAGAACAGATGACTGGATAAAGAAGGCATGGTAACATATACACAATGGAATATTATGTGGCCGTGTGAGAAAAAATAAAATCATGCAATGTGCTGACACATGGATCGATCTAGAGAATATCACGCTGAATAAAATGAGCCAGAGGGAGAGGGACAGACAAAAAATGATCTCACTCATATGGGGACTATGAAGACACATAGTAAGAGAACAAATAAAGCCCAAAGGCGATAAAAATGAAGAATAGAAGAACTTGTCCTTACTAAGAAGTTTACTACTTACTGTGTGTGTTTGGTTGAGGTGGAGGAGGGGAAGAGTGAAGAGGGCACAGTGACAATAATAGAGGAAAGTGGTCACTCTGGACCAATATTAGGTGCTAAAAGAAGGCAGATAAAGTGACATACATAATACCCTTTCAGTAACAGTATTTTAAACCACAGTACCTAAAAGTGGGAGCGGGGGAGGAAAAGAGAAAAAGAAAAATGTGCCTGTCATATAAGCAGACTGGGGGGCAGCAGGGAAACTGGATCACTGAGAAAGAAAATAGACACTGGTAAAGGGACTGGTGTTGGAACACTGTATGCCTGGAACTCAATCATAAATACCTTCATAACTTGGCAACTCACAATAATTCACTAAAATTTTTTCATTAATTAAAAAAATGTTTCAAAATAAGAAATTTTATATTAGAAGAAATCAGGAACAGATCTAAAAGCAATTATCTGAATTATTTAGTATTACGACTAATTTTACTAATTACAGAATTAGTAATGCATATATTACCAGGAAGCATTTTTTTAATCCAATTTCCATATTGACTTTCACAAATCTCAGATGAAACGATGGAACTACAATGAAAAGTTTCCCACTTACTTTTGCTGTGGTAGACATTGCTCCAGCCATCTTCATCTGGGAATTCATCACTTTTGTTTGTGTGGACATAGACGTGACTTTTGAACTTACGGCAAACGTTCTAGTCTTCTGTTTTCGTAGATGTACAAGCTGCTTGGCTAAAACTCTGCAAGCTTCTTTATTACCAATCTTAGCCATTTTCTTAATTTCTAATTCCTAATAGAAGAAATAAAATTGGGAATGAAAAACCACTTGGAAGGGTAGTCTTCAATGATATATTTCAAAAGAATAGACCAAATATATACAACATGTTATTTCTCCCTAATCATGAACAGAAGAGGTTGCCATAAAATACAAGCGGGACAGTAATTTAAGGAGAATTTATTCCACATGTTCACTAGAAAAAGAGAACTAGTACTTTCATCCACATATACTAAGCAAGTTTAAAAACAGTAATCACAGTGCCCAAGAGAAAATTATCTGTTTTATTTTCATATTTGGGGTCGGGGGAGGGTGTTGGGGGAGATTCACATCCAGCGGTGCTCAGGAATCACTCATGGTGGGGCTGGGGGACAATATGGGATGCTGGGGATCAAATCTGGGTCAGCCACATGCAAGGCAAGCACCCTAACAACTGTACTGTGGACCAGTCTTCAAATTTTTTTTTAATTCAATCCCCGTGAGTTACAAAATTACAAAGATATTGATGATTGAGTTTCAGGCGTATATAGTTCCAACAACAATCCCTTCACCATGCCCACCACCTTCCACCAATTTTCAATATTTATTAAAATTTAGCGGTAGGGCGTTCGCCTTACAAGCGGCCAACATGGCCGACCCGAGTTCGATTCCTCCGCCCCTCTTGGAGAGCCCAGCAAGCTACCGAGAGTATTTGATATGCCAAACACAGTAACAACAAAGTCTCCAATGGAGACGTTACTGGGCCCGCTCGAGCAAATCGACGATCAACGGGAGGGCCTTTACCTTTACCTTTACCTTTAATTTAAAAGTAGGGAAAAGGGGAAGTGGAAGAATGTAATAATACAGACTACCACAGACACACGTGATGTTAAATGAAAAGGTCCATCTGACATTTCAGTAAAACTACAGCTTGTCAAGTCCAGAAAACATAGTATAGGGACTAGGGTACATGCCCAAACATTGCATACTCCCTAGCCCCCACAAAGCTAGTATGGCCCTAGTGGCCACTGACACTGCAAGACTCAAACAGCACTGCATCCTCAGGCTAGCAGCCTATAAGCCCCAGGAGTGGCCACTATTTAAGCACTATTTGGGAAGGATGCCTTTCCCTCCCAAAGGGCAAACTGTTAGATTAGATAAGCGCCACAATATGCTGTCTCAAGAAGCCGATTTTTAATTCCAAAACTAGCTACATTAAAATCTGACCAAAATGCTTAATATCATTAATTTAGGGCCCTAACCAAAAACCAAAAAAATTAAATTCATTCCCCTCAAGAGGAGAGAGAACAGCTACAAGATGCCTATAGATAATTACAATTAATGGTAAAAGATCCCCTAGAAGAGCAGTAAAAACACCAGGATGTGAGGTACTGCCACTTACAGTTGAAAGTGCACTGAAGTATGAACCAGTGTAATAAAGAAAAGAGAAAAGTAAAATATACGTAAGTAAAATTAAATTAAAAACACTTAATTAAAAATAAGGTGAAAAATTTTACTCATAGATAATATGACTGCAAAAACCAAACTGAATTTCAACAATGGCCACTAGGTGACTGCAGAAAAGTTACAGAGTTTAAGAACACACAAACACTTCATGTATTTCTATCAACAGCAATAAAAAGCCAGAAATCAAATTTGCTATGAAGATATGAATTAGCATAAAGATACCAACTAGTGAGGGATAAAGTTTATGGAGGAAGTTTATATAAAAGAGCAATAAATTTACAAGTACAAATGCTGAAAAATTACAGCTCTCAATAAGTATAGAGATACAGATATTCATGGACCATGAGACAGTATCTTTTTTTTTTTTTGCCTTCTGGGTCACACCCAGAGATGCTCAGGGGTCACTCCTGGCTCTGCACTCAGGAACCACTCCTAGCAGTGCTCAGGGGACCATATGGGGTGCCAGGGATCAAACCTGGGTTGGCCACGTGCAAGGCAAATGTCCTACCTGCTGTGCTATCGCTCCGGCCCCAAGACAGTACATTAAGGAGCAAATATTTTGCAGATTGGTTTACATATTCAATATGACAACTTTGCAGAAATTTATCATATTTTCCTAACATTCATTGGGCAAAGGACATTATTAGGAAAATTAAAGTGAGGGCTGGAGTGATAGCACAGCGGTAGGGTGTTTGCCTTGCGTGCAGCCAGCCCGGTCAAGCCGGGTTCGATTTCTCTGCTCCTCTCGAAGAGCCTGGCAAGCCACCGAGAGTATTCAATATGCCAAACACAATAACAAGAAGTCTCACAATGGAGATGTTACTGGGCCCGCTCGAGCAAATCGATGAACAACGGGAGGACAGTGTTTGTTTGTTTGTTTGTTTGTTTGAAACTGAAGGCCAAGAACTGAAGAAAAACTGTAAAAACTATAGCTATATCTAGAAATAATACTTATGTCTAACAGGAATATAATTTGATGGGAAAAATGACTAACAATCTAATAGATACTATAACAAAGGCTCATTTAAATGGCAAATATAAAACTGAAAAGAAGGGATCATCAGCTGAGAGTAGCTAGATCTTTAAAATATCAACCTATGACATACCCACAAGAATGAGCTAGAGTAAAAATAATTGTTGGTAAAATTATTGGTCAGGATGTGGAACAACGTACAGGTAAAGGTATCCAATAACATAGCTGAGGGGAATAAAAAAAATTACAGCCATTTTTAGTTTGTTTTGTTTCTTTGTGGCTGACCACACCTGGCTGTGCTCACCACTTACTCCAGGTTTTGTATCTCAAGATCACTTCTGGTGTGCTTGGGGAACATACGTAGTATGGGAGATGGCGCATGGATTGGCCTTGTTCAATGCAAGCACTTTAACCCCTCTACTATTCCTTCAGTACACAATTACTAGTATATTTACCATTAAAACTAGCATACTTCCTTAAAAATACATTTAAAAGAAATAAAAAAATATTCACACAAGACTTCAGTGAGTCACTGGAAGCAACGTTATATAAAATAGCCAAACCTTGAAAATAACCCAAACACAAAATACAACAAAATGTGGATACAACAAAATGATACCCAATATGATACAAGCAATGTAGATAACCAAAATTGTATCAACCTTAAGTTATGAGAAGAAACCATATTTTAAACTCTTATTACATAACTGCATTTAGATGAATCTCTAGCAAATATAAATAAATCTGCAGTGACAAATCAGAGTCAGCTGGGGAAAAGATAGGAAATGATTTCTAGGAGTAACTACAAAGTGATTAAGAAATTCGTGGGAAGATAAGGGATATGGTCTTCATATTTTGATGGTAGTAATGGGTTAAGGAGTTTATAATGTCAGATCTATCAAATTATGTACATTAAAGATGTAGAGTTCATGCATGTTAATTGCCCTGCACCATGCTGTTTTCAAAAATATTTTTCCTGGGAAGATTTAGGGTCATACCAGGCTGTGTTCAGGGACTAGTGCTGGCAGGGATTGGTAGACTAAAACGGGTACTGGGGATCAAACCCAGGTTGGCTACATGCAGAACGTATCTCTCTCTCTGGAAACTTCAGAAAGATTTTTAAGCAGCACACATTTCAAACAGAAACCGTATTTAAAGATGAGCAAGAAAGTCTATATCAAAAATACATTAATTGTTATTGACACCATGGTCCTTAAAATATCAAGACACCTAACAATGAGGTAACAATATTATTTTTAGTAGTTATCTCTTGTTTCCCAGAACTATTTTAGTTTTGTTGATAACTATGAAAGTGACACTGTTTTAAGCATTATACTTCATAGTCACTTATGACTTTTACAAAATTAAGAATAATTTAATTTTATAATCAAAATATAAAGAATCCTAATAAAGGTCAGCAAAATGATATAACAAAGAAACAGAAATGCAGGAAATCATTGAACATTACTTCTTAATGTATTACTTATCACTTACATCTGACCTGTATAATTTTTCCTAGCTAGTTAATTATTCTAACACTAATTTCCCAATTAGTTTGAAAAGTAAAACTGAAATTAAATATTCTACTTACCAGTTGTTTTTCTTCTTTCTCCAAAGCTGCTCGATCTCTAATAATAGCCCTCTGTGTACCTCGTAACTCTCGATTTTGTTCCTTTATTACATCTAAGAGAATCATAACAGACACAGAAAATCTTAAATAAAGAGATTATAATATTTTATTCAATATCATTTAAAATGTTAAATGAAGAGAACTTGAAAGAAACAAACTTATTAAATATTAGATTTTCTTCAGCTCAAAAATTAAAAAGTCAAGTATTAAAGCTTGACTTATACTGTCGGAGGGGAAAGGGTGTTGCCCCATTCGCCCTCTCTTCTCTGGAAAGAAAGATGGCGGCTGCATGGGAGCCTTGTGGACAGCAGGTATGAGCCGGGGGAGTGGGGGCGACTAAAACCTCATGGGAAGGGGGACGTTCCGGTCCGTCCTTCACGTCCTACTGAGGTCACCAGTTGCCCCCCGCGAGCGGCACTCCAGCACGGCCACGGCCCCAGAAACACAAGGACTTAATGCAGAACCCAACAGCTTGGAGCAGAAAAGTGAACAGACTATGCGTTGATCCAGGCCATCAGGTCTGTCCGGAGGGGAAAGGGTGTTGCCCCATTCGCCCTCTCCTCTCTGGAAAGAAAGATGGCGGCCACATGGGAGCCTTGTGGACAGCAGGCATGAGCCGGGGGAGTGGGGGCGACTAAAACCTCATGGGAAGGGGGACGTTCTGGTCCGTCCTTCACGTCCTACTGAGGTCACCAGTTGCTCCCCGTGAGCAGCTCTCCAGCATGGCCACAGCCCCATAAGCACAAGGACTTAATGCAGAACCCGGCAGCTTGGAGCAGAAAAGTGAACGGACTATGCGTTGATCCAGGCCATCAGGTCTGTCCGGAGGGGAAAGGGTGTTGCCCCAGTCGCCTTCTCCTCTCTGGAAAGAAAGATGGCGGCCGCATGGGAGCCTTGTGGACAGCAGGTATGAGCCGGGGGTGCGGGGGCGACTAAAACCTCATGGGAAGGGGGGCGTTTCGGTCCGCCCTTCACGCCCTACCGAGGTCACCAGTTGCGCCCCTATGAGCGGCTCTCCAGCACGGCCACAGCCCCAGAAGCACAAGGACTTAATGCAGAACCCGGCAGCTTGGAGCAGAAAAGTGAAAGGACTATGCGTTAATCCAGGCCATCATGTCTGCCCAGAGGGGAAAGGGTGTTGGTCCCTTCCGCCCTCCTCCCTCTGGAAAGAAAGATGGCAGCCACATGGGAGCCTTGTGGACAGCAGGTATGAGCCAGGGATGTGGGGGCGACTAAAATCTCATGGGAAGGGGGGCGTTCCGGTCCGTCCTTCACGCCCTACTGAGGTCACCAGTTGCCCCCCGCGAGCGGCTCTCCAGCACGGCCACGGCCCCAGAAGCACAAGGACTTAATGCAGAACCCGGCAGCTTGGAGCAGAAAAGTGAATGGACTATGCGTTAATCCAGGCCATCAGGTCTGTCCAGAGGGGAAAGGGTGTTGCCCCAGTCGCCTTCTCCTCTCTGGAAAGAAAGATGGCGGCCGCATGGGAGCCTTGTGGACAGCAGGTATGAGCCGGGGTAGTGGGGGCGACTAAAACCTCATGGGAAGGGGGGCGTTTCGGTCCGCCCTTCACGCCCTACCGAGGCCACCAGTTGCCCCCCACTAGCGGCTCTCCAGCACGGCCACGTCTCCAGTGCACAGAAACCAATTTCTTAACTATCTGACTTTCAGTAGAAATACTTCCAGGTTCAATAAGTAAAATAGCAGAAATCCAAAACCAACATTTAATTCTTGAACCCAGCTGTAGAAAGCAAATCACTTCACAATGCTTTTTCAGCATGTCTGATTTGGGGGGGGGGGGTAAACTCTAAATAATAGTGGTGAATCTTTTATTGAAACAATGAATCCAATCAAAGCAGACAGAGTGTTAACTAGAATTCATCTGCCCCACAGGGACTGGGAGGGGTGGGGGGTGGGGTTTTATTGGGGTTCTTCATGGTAAAAAATAAGTTTTGGTAAAGGGAAATGTGTTTGATATTTGCATGACTGAGACCTAAACCTGAAAGCTTTGTAACCTTTCCCACGGTGATTCAATAAAGAAATAAAAAATAAATAAATAAATAAATAAAGCTTGACTTATAAGCAGTGACTTCACAAGTACTTCTGTAGAGTGTATATATACTACAGCTTGAGATTTAACTAAAAGTATAAATAAATCACAATAAAATAGTCCCTTAGATAACTGATTAGCATACAGCATTTTATATGGCAACAATATTTGTCATACACAGAAATCCACATACCATTTTCATCTCTATTGCAATATTGCATGAAATCCAGAAAAAAAAAGGCAGGGAAAGTGTTTTTTAAAATCCTTTAAAAAATATACTAAAGTAGGGGGTATGGTGCCACCAGCAGGTCAGTCTGTACCTATGAGGGGAGTGCATCAGCAGCCTGATGGCACCGTCAGACTTTCAGATACCCCAAAACTGCTGCTGTGCCTTTGTCCAGACCCCCAAATATTGGGGCAAAGTTTACCAAGAAAGTAAACAGATAAAAGTTAGGTATGTGGGAGACACACCCACAAACCACCTTTGGCTCAGCTATATAATTGGAGGCATGGCCTCTCTGGTTCCTAATCGAACTTCTTAATGGCCATGATCCCAGAGACTCAGAAACGAATCTCAGAACACAAAGGCTTTTGGCAGAAATGCGTCCTGTTCCTGCATTAGGTTACTGGGGCTGGGCCACTCCAGGTGGGAATAGGTTTCGTGCCTTGGCCTGTTCCCCTTGTAGTCCCGGTGACCGCCATCCTCCAGAGGCCACTGGACAGTCAGGTTTGGGCCTGCAGTGACAAGACAAGCGGGGCCTCACCAGATGGGGGTGGAACCGGCCCTTTCCTCCCCATCCCAACAAGACCTGGAGTTGCCGCTTACAAATGGCCTCTCTGTCTCCTGATCAAGCTGATTAACGGCCATGATCCCAGAGACTCAGAAGCAAATCTTGAAACCCAGTGGCTTTTGGCAGAATGCATCTGGACTGCATACAAGGTGGCTGCCGCTTCAGAACTTATTGGAAAGCCAGGTATGAGCTGGCAATGATAGGGCAACTGCAGTCTCATGGGAAAGGGGGTGGTATTGGCTAGTCCTTCATGCCCTACCCAGGTCACGAGTTGCCCCGCACAAGCAGCTCTCCGGCATGGTCATGGCTACAGAGGCAAAAGGACTTAATCCAGAGCCTGGCAGCTTGTGGCAGAAAAGTGAATGGACCATGCTTTAAACTACATCACCATGCATCCCCAGGAGAGAAAGGGTGCTCCCTTCAGCCTCCCCCCCGCCCCCCCCCCCCCCCGGGGCAGTAAGGTGGCCACCGCCTCAGAGTTTATTGGAAAGCCAGGTATGAGCGAGTGGTGATGGGGCAACTGCAGTCTCATGGGGGGGGGGGGGGGGGCGGGGGGTGGTACCAGCTCATCCTTCACGGCCTACCAAGGTCTCGAGTTGCCCCCCACGAGCAGCTCTCTGGCACAGCCATAACACCAGATGTACAGAAACCAATCTCGTAATTATCTGGCTCTTTGCAGAAATCCAAAATCCTACGCGACATCATATGATTCTCATAACCAGCTATAGAAAACAAAGTATTTCACAATGCCTTTTCAGCAATTCTGATTGTTGGGGGTGAAATTCTAAACAATAATGGTGCATCTTTTGTCAAAATGATGAATGTAATCAATGTAGAGAAGAGTTCAGTGGAAATTATCTGCCTCACAGGCATTGGGAGGGGTGGGAGTGGGGTATATTGGGGTTCTTGGTGGTGAAAAATGAGTACTGGTGAAGGGAGGGTGTTTGATCATTGTATGATGGAGACTTAAACCTGAAAGCTTAGTAACTTTTCCCACAGTGATTCAATAAATAAATATAAGAAGAAAAGTAAATAAATAAAACAATGAAAAAAAAAAGTAAGGTGGAGTTCATGCCCAAATCAATCAGCTAATCATTAGCTAAATAAATAGCAGTACTCCTACATAAAAAAAGAAAAAAATATACTAAATTATCATAATAGAGAAAAGCAACAGATCTAGAATTGAATATTAGTTCTGCCAGTTAATCATTATGTGATATTTTGGAATATACAACACTACATAAACTCAGATTCTTATGTATAAAAGAGCAATTCTTATTAAGGCATAATAAAATATATACAATGATGCCCCTGATATACTTTAGTATCTACTCATTCTTAATTCCAATCATTATTCCTACCACCTGAAGAAGGTATACTTTAGGTATCTACTCATTCTTAATTTAGATCATTAGTTCTATCATCTGAAGAATTTAAATATCAGTCTAGGCCTCATATACTATAATTTGGGTAAACTCTCACCACTTATTTCTTCAAAGGATTACAGATCATGATGATAAGTATTACCAAGATGTTATCTCTCATTGGTAAAAATTGAAAAGTGTTTTAAATGCACACTGGATTACATATATTATAATATTCCTAATAATTTAATGGAATTATCTTTCTATTAGCTTACAAAACAGAAAACAGTATTGAGAAGTCAAAAATAACTTTCTCAAAGTCACATATAAAGTAACAGTAACACTTTTTGGGTCCAAGTGTTTTGTTTTAAGAATCAAATCATAATCAATTCTACTATAGCCTTTTTACTAAAGAGGCAGATCCAGAGAGAAGGAAGGAATAGTTTCTTTATCAAATGTTATTGGGAAACCAGATATCTGTATTTCAAAAAATGAAATTAGAATCTACATTCTATCATCTGTAAAAATTTTAAAAAATATTTATGACGCAAATATAAGAGCTGAATTTCAAGAATCTTAGAAGAACATACAGAAGTAAATCTGCATGATCTGGAATTTAGCAGAATGAATTCTCTGATGGGCCACTGAAAGCACAAGCAACAAAAGAAAAAAGGGGATAACTAGACTTCCTAAAAATTAAACACTGTGGTTGATGGAAGATTATTAAATTAAATGACAACCTAAAGACTGGAGGAAAATATATGCAAATCATATTCTGTATATTGTTTAAATATGACTAAACATCAGATACATGTGTATTTATATCTATGGTAGTACAGTACATGGAA